TATATATATATATATATATATATATATATATATATAATATAGCGAAAGCAAATAAAATAATATACCCACATATAAGATAATATTACAACAAAACGCCCCGGCATTCCTATTATTGCTAAAGCTATGTTCGACCATGGCTTCGAACCCAACCCACTCTCAGCCACGGATTCGGAGAAGGCCTTCTTGCCGAACTCCAGGACAAACCACGCGCTCGCCACTTTGTTGTGGTTATCCATTGTTATTCATTCGGTTATTTCTTTATATGCCCCGGAATCAGCTGATAATTATCCACAACCGGAATGAGTAAGGTAGAGGCTTCACAGAACTCGATTTATGTAACGCCGAGAAAGCACCAGGTGGCAGGTATTATTGCAGGAGGAAAAGTTCAATTCTCTTTGAAGTAATTTCCGGTCTAAATATCTTGTGCTTGTGGTCGAGTCGGGGTCCCTTATTGAAGAGAAAGTCTTTTTCTTTCACTAATTATACGCGAAAGACCACGATTCAGAAGCAAGAATAAAATGATGCAATTTAAAACATTAAATAATAATAATAATAATAATAATATGAAAGGAACATTATTGTGAGTGTCTATCAGGAGATAAGTTAAAGTCATCGTGGGTCAGTTTTATAGTTGTCATTAAGCGGTACCATTTTGTATCAACATCACTACCAATATCCTCCGAAATCAACAGTAATACCTATGTTGCTGCTGATAAAAAAAGCAAGTAGTTAGTCTCTCTCTCTCCTCCCCCCCCAAAAAAAAAAATATTCTTTCACTTAATATATCCCTTCAACCCCTAAAAATCTAACCACCCACACTACATAACATTTTGGTATATGTAAACGAATCACGACCCACACCACATAACGTTTATGAATATCTAAAAAACAAAAAACAAAACAAAAACAAAAAAACAAAAAAAAAACACACCACATCATACACCAAGGAATATCTAAAAGAAAAAAAAATGTTCACTTCCCACACCACATAACATTTTGGAATACCCCCCCCCCCAAAAAAAAAAAAAAAATCACCACCCACACCACATAACATTTAAGAACATCTCAAAAAAAAAAATATATATATATATATAAACAAATAATAGAAATAAAATCAATCAACCAATCAACCCATTTTTCCCTCCCTTCTCGCCCCGCCAAGGTCTCCGGCAGCAAGATCTGGCAAACGGAGCGATCGTGCATGTGTTGCCAGGAGTCAGGCGAGAGGGAGGCGTCGGTCACACTCAACTGTCCCAAGGCAAGACCTGGAGAACCAAGAATGAGGAAGGTAAGAGACGTTTTTTATTTATTTTTATTTATTTATTTATTGTTTATTTTGTATTTATTATCATCATCATCATTATTATTATTATTATTTATTTATTTATTTTTTTTATTTTTTTTATTATTATTTTTTTTAGAAAGAACGAATCTCCGGGCATGGGCGGGGGTGGGTGGGGGTGGGGTGGTGTGTGTGGAGGGGATTGAGTGGAAGGAGGGAGAATATCGAATTTGCATAAGAGAGAGAGAGAGAGAGAGAGAGAGAGAGAGAGAGAGAGAGAAGAGGAGAGAGAGGAGAGAGAGAGAGAGAGAGAGAGAGAGAGAGAGAAGAGAGAAGAAAGAGAGAGAGAGAGAGAGAGAAAGAGAAAGAGAAAGAGAGAGAGAGAGAGAGAGAGAGAGAGAGAGAGAGAGAGAAGAGAGAGAGAGAGAGAGAGAGAGAGAGAGAGAGAGAGAGAGAGAGAGAGAGAGAGAGAGAGAGAGAAGAGAGAGAGAGAGAGAGAGAAGATCGGGATTTTTTGATATGTGTATTAAGCGATACTGACTCGGTGGTGTGTATATATGATGTATATAATTAGTTTTTGTTTTGTATTCTGTTGGCATTACATTATCGTTTGCATATTTCATATTCTGTTATGTGTATAGTATTTAGAGTTACCACCGTTACGAAATAGTGTGAACGCAATAGAGCCACGATTAATGTACTTGTAATTACTTTCATAACCATAACAATATTTGCAATTTGGTTGAATTTTACATAGCTACTTTCTGCTTTGCAATTTTACGTTTTTTTTTTTTTTTTTTTTTTTACACCACGACACAAAAACAAAACAAGCTTGAATCAAACACCGAAATCTTGTTTCTAGCGTCGCATTCATCTACCGTAATAGTGGTAACGAATAATAGACACGTCGCATACATGTTATAAAAAAGTGTCTGTGTATCATATTTCAATCTTTCACAAAAACCTCCGTTCGCAGATTCTCACACGGGCGCCCATTGACTGCATGTGCCGCCCTTGCACCGACGTCGAGGAGGGCACGGTGCTGGCGCAGGAGATCGCCAACTTCATCGAGGATTCGCCCATGGAGAACGTCCCATTCCTGAAGAAGTAAAATGACCCCCCCCCCCCAACCCTACTCGGAAACCCTCCCCCGTTGCTGACTCTGTGATTTCGAAGGACATCAAAACCTTATTTTTAATTGCTTCGTTTTTTTTATAT